CGGCCGCCCGCCGCCGGCAGATGTGCACCGTCGCCCTGGGGCGAGCTGCGCCCGCTCCCTCCCGCCCAGCCAGATGTGTTCCCCCTCGGACAGAGGTGGCCCGTGGTGCTCGGACAGATGTGTGGGGTCCCCCTTGGACAGATGTGTCCTGTACCTCTCAGACGCAGGCGCGTGCTGGCACTCGGACTGATGCGTGCTGTCCCCCCTTGGACAGATGTGCGCCATGGTGCTTGGACCGGTGTGCGCAGGCCCGCTTGGACAGATGCGCACCGTGGGACTCGGACAGATGTGTGCTATTCCCCCTTGGACAGATGTGCGCAATGGGACTTGGATCAACGTGTGTTGTGCCCCTCAGACAGATGTGCCCCATGGGACTCGGACAGATGTGTGTTATCCCTCTCAGACAGATGTGCCCCATGGGACTCGGACAGATGTGTGGTGTCCCTCTCAGACAGATGTGCACCGTGCTGCTCGGACATATGTGCACTGTGCCCCTCAGACAGATGTGCACCATGGTGCTCGGGACTGATGATCAACGTGTGTTGTGCCCCTCAGACAGATGTGCCCCATGGGACTCGGACAGATGTGTGTTATCCCTCTCAGACAGATGTGCCCCATGGGACTCGGACAGATGTGTGGTGTCCCTCTCAGACAGATGTGCACCGTGCTGCTCGGACATATGTGCACTGTGCCCCTCAGACAGATGTGCACCATGGTGCTCGGGACTGATGTGTGCTGCCCCCCTCAGACAGATGTGCCCCATGGGACTCGGACAGATGTGTGGTGTCCCTCTCAGACAGATGTGCCCCACGGGACTCAGACAGATGCATGCTGCCCCCCTCAGACAGATGTGCCCCATGGGACTCGGACAGATGTGTGGTGTCCCTCTCAGACAGATGTGCCCCACGGGACTCAGACAGATGCATGCTGCCCCCCTCAGACAGATGTGCCCCATGGGACTCGGACAGATGTGTGGTGTCCCTCTCAGACAGATGTGCCCCACGGGACTCAGACAGATGCATGCTGCCCCCCTCAGACAGATGTGCCCCATGGGACTCGGACAGATGTGTGGTGTCCCTCTCAGACAGATGTGCCCCACGGGACTCAGACAGATGCATGCTGCCCCCCTCAGACAGATGTGCCCCATGGGACTC